CCTTTGAATTTGGTATTTCAACTCTACTGTGTTCACAATGACTTTTTTTTTCTGTAGTTTAGATTTCTGGGTGAACTTACTACTTCAGTTAGGAAGTGGACACCTGATTAGACTCGAACTGGTTTCGTCAGATCACAGCACCACTTCTACGACCACAGTATTACCCCTATCCCAAGCATTTGGTCTTGCTTTCAGTAGAATCGCCTAGACCCATTCGTCAATACTAGACCTGGTGTTGTCAGGCCAGAGCCTTCATTTCAGACCTGTCTTGCACAGCTCCAGTCAACTAAACACTGCACTTTTTATGTTTGCGTCATTATGACCTGACAAAGTAAAACAATCCCTTTATGTCAGAAACCTGAACGTCACTAGATAATGAACCCTTTCTTTGCTTGTCCATGAATGCCAACATTTGTGGAATGCCCTGGTAGTGGAGCGAAATCGCCCTTTCATGAATAACACCACACCAAGTGGTTCTCCAAGCATGGAAGAGGTTACTCCGGGGAGTTAGGAAGTGCAAGACTGCAAATTGTGTATTTCGTTTTTAAATTACTTCACTTTTACCAAACTGCCTGATTGCAGAGGTATAAATGTCGGAAATATTATGAAACATATCACCAGCTTATAATTACTATTGGGTGATGTCATGGTAAACGCTGCAGCTAGCATACCATGCTTTACTAGCCAGCATGTTTTACTTTCATTACCCAATATTCATGGCATGAAATTAACAGGGAACTGACTAAGACCATGGTATTCTGAACAGGTGGACGACTTATGGATACTGTATCTGAACATCTATCTCGGTGTCTGTTTCACATCTTAACCGACTGAGTTGAGGAATTCTTGTACACACTTATAACAACAGGCTCAGAATGCACAGTTTGTCTTTCAAGGTAACATTTAATGTTTTACGCTCACTGTAAGTACGTAAATGGTCTTGTTTGACAGAATCATCGCAGCTTACATACATCTAAGCCTCTGAGGTCTTAGGATATCCACATATAACACGCATTGAAATGGAAAATTTATATTTTGGTTAACAAATATTAGGAGTTGTATAATGCAAACAATCGGTGAATTAGGGAAGTACCTGATATGCTTGGACAATTGTAAATATGCCATGTAAGCCATGGCATAGGTAATTCAAAATCTGTTGTAATATGTTGCTTTCATCTGACAAAACCGAAGGCCAAACATGGGTCGGGTAGAAATATTTCCATTGAGCTGTGTCGCTCGTGTTAGGACGTACGTTATTGGTGGGTAAGTTCTAAGTTTCTGCTTTTAAACTGCATTAGGAAATTGATGAAATAGTGTAAATGTATATTGTACGACTCCTGTAAAGCAGTATGAATGTTGTAGGAAGCAAGTGCTTGCTTCACACAATATTTACACCCAGACGTTTGTTTAGCCTGTCACCGGCGGGACGAAGGAAGGTCTGGGTAAACATAGCAACGCAGCGTTTCACCTGATAGACTTGTTATTTCCATAGACTTGTAACATGTTATTTCAGTGCAGCATAAATAATTTTGATGAAGTGAGTTTAGGATGGATCTTTGAAAAATTTGACAGGCTAATTTATGGCTCTGCGCACATAATTTCTGTTAAATTTCCGACCACTATTTAACTAATGACATCACATTTACCAACTTTCGTATGGTTCCACAATGCACAATCCCATAGGCCGCCATGTTAAAGGAGTTCACGGCACTGTACATTAGATTAACTTGTTACAGCAATGGAAAATTACACAGAAATTATGTGATTGTAGGTAAGATGATTCCTCACAAAAGTGCAAAAATTGACTTGGATCTTGCGAAATTTAAATTCATGAAAAATGTTTATGCTACACTAAATTAACATGTAAGTCTATGGAAGTTACGTCAAGTGTGCGAATACTTTTGGTTTTTGAAGGACTCTGTAGATTAAGGAAGGGCAAATTTGCTTTATTCTCGTTATTTCTAACATTGAAACTGACGGAATGTTAATCACTGGGGTAGCCGACATTTCGATCTTTACCACCACACACTGCTACATGTTTGTACCCTTGTTGTTTATTTCAAAGCACATTGCTTCCAACATCAAGTACGGTTGTGTCAGCGGCTCATTACCACTTACCCAATTAACTGGGGGATAAAAAAAGATAAACAGTTACGGGTCAGTGATTGTGCAGGGTGAATTTGTTCCCCCAGCTTTGGCTGTGACATAACTTCACCCAGCACTCTAATCAGGGCCAATCAGAGCAATCTCATGACCATCGTTGAACATATTTCACAAGATAAACTAAGTGACCTACATTCATATCATTTGCTACAAATTGAATTCTAATAGAGTGAACTATAACAAGTGACCAACGACAAGTATTATGGAAATTTCCTTGTTTCTCCATTGCACTATGGCAAACGTTCAAGTAAACACTCGTTTCATACCGAGTGGATGCAGCGGTCAGTACTTGGCCTACAGGGGCTGTAAGTTCAGTATCAAGACCAGACGAAATCCTTAATCCATTGGAAGTGTTGGGAGAACGATTGTCGATCAACGTTCAACACTAAAGATGGCCTTGTGATATCTTACAAGGATGTACAAATCATGTAGAGGGATGGCATCGTCAAATGAGTGATGTGTTTGCCAAAAGCCACCCCAACATTTATAAGGACTTTTTTTAACAAGGAACAAGGCTGGGTAGAGACATGTATTCTTCAGCTCAGAAATGGTGCCATACATTGACTCAGTATCACATTTAACTCGATACCAAGTGCATTGCAGTGCATATATGTGATATGATTTCATATGATGTTGATGTTGTGTTTAGTTGTATAACTGGATAACTTGTATATATATAATTAATACCTATACGTAATCATTGAGTCAGAAGTAGTTGATATTTATCACATTTGGTCCCGGATACTATTTCACAGGGAACAAAAAAAGTGTTTAAAGGGATTATCACGCCCCAGTGATTTCTTCTACTGAAACAATAGGAGTTGGGTAAGTGGGAAGACCCCGTCTAATTAATTAGCGTGTGACTCGTCATGCTCCAACGCACACAGGGACTTGGTTCGTTCCCAGCGCAACTTCGGTCACGTTTGACAGTACCTCAGCAAGTTTATTGTATCAATCTGAATTTACAATGAATGAATCAATGAATGACTTATAGCAAGAATTAAGAGCAAGAATTATAAGTGAATTAATGAAGAAATAAGGAAAAAGAACAACAGAAAGAAATACATATGTGAATGAATGAAAGAATAAACGATACACCACGGCCACCCCTCCCCAAACATGTTAAAGAACGCAAAACTATCCCTAGAACACATGTGTTAATATCATCTGTCCTTTTTTTAAAAAATCTACTTTGAGACATGTTTACATTAGTAATTAATTCAGATATATTATTGCATGTGTGGAATGGCATGGACATTGACAGAATGTTAACTGACACTGTCACACACACACACACACCAAAACAGAAAGTTTAAAACTATCACAAAAGCCTTGTAAACACCTTTCCAGTTTTGTTTCAAATACTAAGATCAACAAAAAAGAAAGCAGCTTTAGAACTATAACACTCAAGCATCACAAGCATCAATGGCGGATCAGAACAGATCACACACCTCAAATACACCCTAACTATGTTTTTAAAGTTATAAAACTACCACTATTACTTGCAAACACCTTTCAACTAAAGGTTTATTTCCCTTCTAAATTTTAAATAGCGATATAATTTAGTCTTTCTTCGCTGTGTACTGAGAATTGAAGCCAGTGAGCTACAACATGCCGACTTGAAACTTTACTACAAATCTACTGCACTAATACTGACACTAATAACAGTTATTTGACTTAAATGAAGTGACAGAATAGGTAACTTATCTTCTACATATAGGTTTTCAGTTGTCACACCACTCAGCGAATGTAATCAGCTGTTGAAAATAAACCGGGCTCAATCTTATAAACTAAGCTGCCGCCATATTGGCTACACTGGTCACGCGACGAGCCGAGGCATACGCTAAGGGGTTTTCGAGGAGTGACCACTCCTCGTTATATAGTCTGACACCAACTTTAAACTGTGTTGCACAAACACCAAGTCAAGTTGCCATGCTACCCTTCATACTGCGAGATAAACACTGAAGTTTAATCTGCTTCACATTAGAATTTACGGAATTGTCTAAAATACCATGTACAGTAAACAGGGAGGGTGGGGTGTGGTGGGGACATCAAGGAAAGACATTTTGAATTCCTGTCACGGTTAATGAATTCAAACTTAACAGATGGTGATTCCATAAGGAGGAGTAGGTACTGGCTAGCGACCAGTTAAAGAGTCGCCAACACCTGTGCAGAGCTTGAGAAGACAGCATGATTTGTACTCGTGTGTATTTCACGCACTGACATATCGTACTAAAGCTATAGGCTACGAGAGTTAAAATCAAACTGTCTTCGCAAGCGCCACAGCCACGTGTTGGCGATTACTGGTCGCTGGCCAGTATAGTGCAGATGCTTTTGTTTGTTGATCTATTTTTTCTTTCAGTGTAATAATGTGAATAATCATGTATGTTTATATGTGAAGTCCCCGTAGTATATACTCGCCCCTAACCTAACCCTAACCCTGTAGGCGAACAGATTCTTGAGTTTCTCCGTTCATGTTTATGTTCAAAACAAAATAATAACAATTTATTCAGTTACAACGTTTCAACAAAGAGGAGCATCTGAGCTTTTTACTTTAATTGCACAGCTTATTACATTTTCAGATTCAAACTGTAAAAATAAATTTAGGTAGTGTTCCTTTTTTTCCCTTTTTGCAGAGGCACGTGGTCTTGATGAACAGGTATCTCAGTCAAATCAAACCATATATATTTAATACCTCTGCTATAACAAATGTATTTAGAATTTATCCATACATAATATTAAAAGGCAAAACATGTGGGAAGGCGAAAACTGAGGGTAGTACTTATAGTGCTTATGTGCTATGTATAGTTTTCTGAACAACATATTCCCTGTTTCAGCCTCGACTGATCCGAACCCGAGCAAGACGGTTCCACCAGTGACGACACAAGACACCGATCTACACGGTAGGTGGGAAAACTCAACAGGCAGGAAGCTCAGTCCTTAATTCTCCTTCCATTTAACACGCTGATGTGTATATACCAGTGGAGATTCTGACTTGAGGGATGAGTCTAACCTATGGTATCGATCAACGTTCATGCTGTCAATCACAGGATTTCAAACTGTAAAAACTAAATTTAGGAAGTGTACCTTTTTTCCTCAACAGACACGTGGTCTCGATGAATTGTTCTGTCAATCAAATTGAACGAAATATATATTTAATACATCTTCCATAAAAAATATATTTAGAGTTTGATAATGCATAATATTGAAAGGCAAAACATATGTGGAAAGGCGAAAACTGTGGGTATGTGCCATGTATGGTTTTCTGATCAACATATTCCCTGTTTCAGCCTCGACTGATCCGAGCCAGAGCAAGACGGTTCCACCAAAGCCAGTGGCGACACAAGAGTCTTATCTATGGGGTAGGTGGGAGAACCCAGCAGGCAGGAAGCTATAAGTCCTTAATTCTCCCTGCGTTTAACAGGCTGATGTATATACCCGTGGAGATTCTGAGATGAGTCTCGCCAATGGTATCAATCGACAATCATGTTGTCAATCACAGGATTTCATGAACCGGGTATTTATGCTGAGGTCGCCATCAGTCAGCTGGAATACTGCTGAGTGTGGCGTTAAACAGCAAACAAAACACTGTGACATAAACTAACGTTCTATCTTATTACCCTAATATATACCAAACAACAGTTGTACTGACATTATCAACTTGTAAAGTGCAACACACGTTAACACTCTCGAGCTGTACACACACTATTGCAACATCTGGCTCTAACAGAGAGTTATGTATTAAACACACCATCGTTAATTCCAGAAACCACATGTTGACATTCCTGTCATAAAGTTGTATTGTTGTCCATCACCAGCAACAGACCGCGACCTCTACTCCGCCAGCAGGGACGGTGACCTGGAGAGAGTGAAGCGGATCCTGGTAGCGGGTAACGTGGACATCAACACTAGAGGAGGATGGAGCAGCACAACACCGGTGATGGAGGCGGCACTCAGGGGTCACAGACATGTGGTGGCGTTCCTGGTGGGTAGAGGGGCTGATGTGTCACTGGTGGACAGGGACGGTGACAACGTCCTTCACTTGGCCTGTATAGATGGAGACTGGGAGACCGTGAAGCTGATCCTGTCCCTGAACGTGGTTGACATCAACGCCAGGAACAACAACGGGTGGACAGCGGCCTTCTGGGCGAGACGCGGGAGACATAAGCGAGTGTTGGATCTCCTGGTGTCACGTGGTGCTCACTGAAGTCAGTGTGGTGTTGGTGTGGACAGAGACGGAGCACATGTCGTTACTGACACTGACGAGGTGTGTGCCGTTTGCGTAGTCGTGTATCACGATTCACATGATTTCCATTTCTTTGTGAATATAAATAAAACTTGTTGAATGTATTTTCAGACTTTTTGCCATTTGTTGTGTTTGGAACCTCGCGTGATCAGCTAAGAAAATTGTGAAGTGAGTGTAAACATAAACGGTGAGTGATTGTACGTAAACGTCGCCAGTCTTAACATAATTCTGTGTTAAATGTGAAACAGACAACAACAAACAGTTTGTTTACATGTCGCTGCACTCTGTGAGATTCACCCAGCTGACGTGGCACCATTTGTACAGTGACAGTGACGTCACACTGGTGGTGACGTCACAAATATACACTGAAGTGCCCGGCGGTCTTCTCAACAAGATAGGACATAGAGCTGCGCAATGCTGGCTTCGTGCCATACAACATATTTGTCAAATACCATTATGTGGTCGGGAAGGATACGTTAGATCGTTTAACAAAGGAAGAATGGACATTTGTAGCTAATTCTACCATGACATTTAAATATGTTCGTTTTTGATTGGCTGTTACTAAAAAATTAGAAGTGAGAAATTTTCAATAACCACTTCTGAGAGCCGATTCACTGCGCGTAGGAATATTGAGAGCCGGTTTACTACGCAAGGGTAATGAGTGCATATTTAAAACGCGTTTTATTCATGGTGCATATGTCATGGTAGAATGGGGATAATCCTATTGTCTTAACATTTTGGAAGTAATTATAGTTGATTGAACGCTGCTAAATGAAACATTCTATTTTTTTAGTAACAGCCAATCAAAAAGGAACATACTTAAATGTCATGGCAGAATTAGCTACAAATGAAACATTTAGCAGCGTTCAATCAACTATAATCATTTCCAAAATGTAAACACAATAGGATTATCTCCAAATTACTGCTGAAATTTAACCCTTTTGGTGCCACAGGGAAATGTACCCTTACTTCAGTGACTAAACACACAATATACAAAATAAAAACTTAAAACAATCATCACCCAAATCATCTCAGCTTTATCAATTCAATGGATGCCAGGAAGACAAATATTTCCCCCACTTCTCTGTTTCTTGATGTAACATTGCTATTTAGACAAAGTACAATTGCTGATATGCCCGGTAAGAATTATATACCTCGTAAATCTCGCCATTTTTGACTAATGAAATCATTCGCGGCATCGTTTACTGTATGTTGCAAATGTAAATATCAGATAGTTACCCGGTGAACTGAATTGAAAAATTGTCTATTAGAGATCACAAATCGCCAATGGTTATTCTGAAACGTCCCCTTTAACCCTTAAATCGTTTGGACTGTCTCGGAAGTAGGCAAACACAAACGCCGAAGTGAGCTCTGCGTTATGTTTGATGGTGTTTACAGAATCATGTTTCACGTAAGCTGGTCATGAGACGCCTGTTACGTCACAAATATTTAACACTCAGCTGCAACGCACACGTCCCTGAATTCCTCATGCATTTAAAATCATTTGCCTGATGGTCTTTTTCACCAGTTCAAATAGTGTTTTTGATATTAACCCCCTTGATGCTGTTCAAATAATGTTGTTGATAATAACCCCCTGAATGCCGTTCAAATAATGATGATATTAAACCCATGGATGCCGTTAAAACTTGTTGATGATATTAACCCCTGGATGCCGTTTATATAATGTTGATGATATTAACCCCAGGATGCCGTTCAAATTATGTTAATTATATTAACCCCCTGGATGCCCTTCAAATAATGTTGATAATATTAACCCCCTGAATGCCGTTCAAATAATGATGATATTAATCCCCTGGATGTCGTTCAAATAATGTTGATGATATTAACCTCTGGATGCCGTTCAAATAATATTGATGATATTAACCCCTGGATGCCGTTCGAATAATGTTGATGATATTAACCCCAGGATGCCCTTCAAATAATGTTGATGATATTAACCCCGTGGATGCCGTTCAAATATTGTTGAAGATATTAATCCCCTGGATGCCGCTCAAATAATGATGATATTTACCCCTGGATGCCGTTCAAATAATGTTGATATTAACCCCCTGGATGCCGTTTAAATAATGTTGATGATATTAACCCCCTGGATGCCGTTCAAATAATGTTGATGATATTAACCCCTGGATGCCGTTCAAATAGTGTTGATGATATTAACCCCCTGGATGCCGTTCAAATAGTGTTGATGATATTAACCCCAGGATGCCGTTCAAATAATGTTGATGATATTAACCCCCTGGATGCCGAGTTGATGTGTTTGTTCTGACACACAAGTCTGAAAAGTGAACGTTGTGCGAAAGTCGTACTCGCGCGGCCCTAAATCTACCTTAGGCTATAAAAGTGAACAGTAATGTAGAATATTTAATTAAATTCCCTATCCAATGCATCTGTGAAAATCCGTGTTAGACCTGATTTAACTGGAATCATGCTGAGCCCAAGTCACGCACTCATTCCATAAGCGACCCGTGAAGAATTGGTCTTTAATAACCGACGCTTGTCTTAAGAGACGACTAACGGGATCGGGTGGTCAGGTTGGCTGACTTGGTTGACACATGTCATCGGTTCCCAATTGCGTGGATCTATGCTCATACTGTTGAACACTGGATTGTCTCGAATATTTACAGACCGTCGCCATATAGCAAGAATACTGTTGAACAACAACCAACCAACAAATCAACCAATCCTATCCGATGAGTGAGTGAGTGAGTTTAGTTTTACGCCGCACTCAGCAATATTCCAGCTTTATGGCAGCGGTCTGTAAATAATCTAGTCAGGAACAGACAATCCAGTGATCAACAGCATGAGCATCGATCTGCGCAATTTGGGACAGATGACATGTGTCAACCAAGCCAGCGAGCCTGACCTCCCGATCCCGTTAGTCGCCTCTCACGACAAGCATGGGTTACCGAAGACAAATATTCTAACCCGGATCTTCACGGGTATAATCCTATCCGATTGGATAAATTCAAATATTGAATGTAAATACTAAGCCGGGCTTGAAAAGTTGTCCGAAATTTTGTTATGGGTGACACCCCACCCCCTCCCCCAAAACAAAACAAAAGCAAAACCAAAACAAAACCAAACAAACAAAAAAGACTGCAGTAAATGTCTCCAAAGCACTGCACGATGATATCTGTTTTCGTCCTCATGGAATGTGTGAGGGAACCAAATAATGTCTGGTTGTATCTGTTGTTCACGGTGAACCAGACTATTCCAAAGCAAGGATCCACTTTGTAACCGGATACGTTGTAGTGTCACAAATTACAGGAAATATTGAAATTACACAACATGACAAATCATGCAACAGCGAAATGGATGGTCCTGTCCCATATCTACATAAGTTCTTAGATTCCCATATTCCGCTGTTTGTGTAGATATTCTGAGTAATTTTTCATCATCATTAACAGAGTACAAGTTACATCTTCAAATGTAAAGAAATTCCTGAAAACATTACACCATGATTTGCTTTATGGAGTATTTATTTTTTTGCGACGTCGGAAAAGACGATATTTGAATGTTCTTTGATCAACATATGTACCTCACATAATTTCCGTTAATTATATATAAGGCTTCGTATTGGCTGCCATTATTTCCACAGAACATGAAATGAACATGAACATCTATGGCATCATATTGAATAAGGCTAAATGTAATAATTTTTCACCTGATGAAGGAGTAAGTCTATACCCTGAAACGTGTTCCCGATAGCAAAAACGTTGACATTCATAAAACTCTCTTCCTTATGTTTATGGCTTCTAAATAGCATTCAAAGACCTGAAGACTTAATGTAGATAATGAAATTAGCTTTGCGAAAGAAATATCTGAAATATACGTAAAATGTACATTATCATACTTAAACTGATAGTATGCTTAGCTTAATAGTATGACTGTGTTTAATCTTATTCAACCGACTTCCATCTCAAACAAATTGCCAAATATGTACAACAAAGTTGAGATACTGCATCACTATCAACGACAGTGTTGTTTTTTGTGTTTTTTTTTTTTATAAAATGGCGAGTTCACTGACTTCTCAGGATTTGGCGAGGGTCCTTTCTTTGATTCAGGAATCGTTTGTGGTGTAAGTAATGAGAAACACCCTGACTGACTACGTATTGGTATTTGCTTTCGTTTTCTTAGTGAAGTTAGGAATGTCGATGAATACCATTGTCGTTGCATCGTTGATTTTGCGTCGTTTGAATTCACCAAATCATTGCAGTATCTCTGTTTTTAATGACCTAACTCTTGCTACAAAATCTATTCTGTGCGTCTACCGAAAATACCGAGACAACGAATGCATTGAATTGACGAATGGATGTCTCATAATTTGAGAAAATGTCGCATCTGAACGTGAAATATATGTGACGTAATGCAAAAGTGTTTTTTTCCCAATTAAATAACCGATGCTTGCATTTGGCGACATACAGAAAACAACCCAGTTAATCGCGGTTTCGTTATCTGTCACAAAAGGCGACATTTACTACGTATCCAAGTTTGAAAAGTCATTTTCAGTACTTTTGCTTTGCCGAAGATGACAGTGGATGGTATCGACACACAGGAAGGTTCGGTTCAAATAAAAAACCAGAAAGACAAATAACATGACACAGACTGGCAAAGTGTTTCCTTACATCATTCACTGATGTATACTAGTATATACAATCCCCAAAACAACGGATCACTGAATATATAGTTCTTTAACAAAAAGTATAAAGTAAACATATACTTTACTAAATGTAGACGAACAATTTATTGCACCCCTGTTTAGAATGAAGAATTGTTAGTCTTTATGTTGTTTGATTAATATAGTGATGCCCTATGAATCGCCTGGTGCACGTTAGTATAAAACATTATATAATTTTCAGGTTCCATGTTCTATTACGTAATCCATATTACTCTGAAAGAAGAAATCCTAAAGTCTCATGGGGATCTGTCTGTATGTACGTCAGCTTCGACATTGATTCTTCGTTTCCTTGCTCCTTGTCTAATTCCACACTTGGCACCGGTCTCAT